ACGGTGGTAGCAGGGGAGGTAGGGGTGGTAGTGGCGAGGGGCGGGGGTGGGGGCGGTGGTAGCGCGGGCCGCACTGGACACAGGCAGGGGCTGGAGTCCGCCAGCCGTCTCCTACCGTCGCGTCGCCGCGGGCCGCTCTCTGGTGACAGCGTCTCCGTACTACCCGGCTGCCCGTTGTCACTGCTATTCATAAATATTTTGTATTAGTCTCTAGTAAATTAGTATTAGGACTTTGCTGTGCACAATCGAGACATGAAATGGTAATTGTTTGCACGCCATCACAAGATTCGACAAGGCAACAGAGAATTGGGATGTGAACCCACGTCTTGACTTATGGTTACAGGCTTGGTTGATTTATACAAATACATAAAGTATGGTAGGATTAATGCGGTAGAAGTGAGAGCCCTGAGAAGTATGTGTGGATTAAAATTGAGTGATCGAGTGAAAAGTAGTGTTATTAGTGAAAAGTGTGGATTGAAAGATGATGTAGTGCCAAGGATTGAAAAGGGAATGTTACGCTGGTTTGGACATGTAGAAAGGATGGATGAAAGTAGAGTTACGAAAGAAGTATACGGAGCGGATATGAATGGGGCCGCCTGTAGAGGATGCCCTAGACGGACATATATATAGTGACCAGATTGGCGATATATTAAAGAAGGGCCAAATTAAAAGTACCCTTTACCGACGAGCATGCATGAAAAGACTGTTGATGAAGCGAAAGAGGTATGTAGGAATCGTAGTATAATTGGCGTGCTATAGTCTCTGCCTACCTCCATGGGAGACAGGCGTGAAGTTATGTATGTATGTATAAAGTATGGCAATAAATTCATACGTTTGTTAGACGTACCATTTCAAACATAAGTATAAGAATAAGAACTCACCAGTTGCTAAATCCAGAGTCACCATCCATAGAGTCAGTCAGGTAGAAGGTGGAGTTGGTGATTTTCAGGGCGCTGGGCACTTCGGAGTTTATATCCACAGCCAACGAGGTGGCGCGTCTGAACCGGGACTTGAAGGAAAAGTACGCTTTCCTGGATAAAGTCCCACTGTCCTTCTTTATTGTCTCATTCGTCGGAATTGTGGGAGTCACAGGTTTCTCAGGAGGAGGTTTATCCGGCAACGGGGGAGGTACATCTCCACAACTCGCTCTCTTATCTGAAATAACAGTCTTCAATTCTTCCTTCAACGACCCGTATACCTTAGCCAAGGGAATTTCAGTCTTATTTTGTACAAGCCGGGTGTCCTTGAAGTTGATATTTGTGTACACGGGGTCCTGTTTCTCACAGTTGGCGTAGATTGGGGTTGGAGTTTTCTTCTTCGCTGTGTCGTAAATGTTCGTTGGATTGCTCGGGGATTTAGTAAACGGTTTGCCGTCCATCGCAACTGTAAGCAGAATGTCTTGGTTAGTTACTTTCAAAAGATGAAAGTGGGTCAGTACCATATCTTCAAGATATCGGTAGATAAAATGATACGATATCGTCGGAATTATTACATGATTCCAAACTTATCATTGATACTTTCTATTCTTGCCGCCTGTCTAGACTGTGGGATAATATTAGAACATTGTTTGTGAGTTTATCGAACATTATAATATCACGCAGGAAATTAATCTCTATGCAGTATTTATTATGATAGGACTATGTATTTTTATATAGTTTTTAATAATATATTTAAATACCTAACAAAAAAATATTTAAAAATAAATAATGACATAACATGTATGAAGCAGTCGACAATTTCGACTTCTCCTTCAACATCCGATATGGTCTAGTGGCTAGGATACCTGGCTCTCACCCAGGAGGCTCGGGTTCGATTCCCGGTATCGGAAATTCTTTTTGTACGTTTTAAAATATTTTTTTAATTACCTGTGTATCTTTTGGTGAGATTTCGTTTGATTTGTCTCATTTTTCTTTGAGCTGCGCTGGCTATTTTGGTTAGGGTGTACTGGCCGCCTCCGGTGGGCGGGTTGGGTAGTCGGGATGCAGGTAAAGACGGCGTTGTTGGCGCATATGTTGACTGGAATAGAAAAAATAAAAACAAAAATTAAAGGAAATACAAAAAGTAAAATACATGAAACAAATAATTTGTCTGTATGAATACTAACAGCCATTATATTTCTTTATTTTTCCCGATTCACTAACGTGCTTCTTGAGAGTAAGAGCAAAGCAAACTAATTTATTGTGACACATGAATACATTGTATTTTCCCCACACAAACATGAAATGTTAGTACGTAATACACCTTCAATGAATATTATTATATTATTTTCCTCGAACTACTACGGTAATCCCGACCAAAGACTACTATAGTATACTGGCTAATCCCGACTACGTAGGTACTATTTTATAAAACGCTTATTAATTTTAAGGAAGCGACACAAGACAAATATAAGTAAGTTCAGACCCTGTTCATTAGAGGGCGCTAGCTGTGTTTCTATAGTTTTGTAGAATGTTTTTTGTAGTACCTAATTTAGACTTTGGGATTTCTTGTTGGGTGGAAATGGAACACAAAATAAACTAGTTAATTGTAGAAAATTATCCAGGGTAACTGTCTATAATCAATACCCAAATAGATTCAGCTGACAGTCTTCAATTTGATTATATTTACAACTTTATTCATATAGCGATAAAGCCGTAAATCTATTTGCCAAATTAGAATATTATGTTGAAGTAAATTTATTTGACTAATTGCTTATCCTTATTAACTTAAACATTTTAATATTTACCTTATCGTGGTCATCAGTATCGCTGTCACTGTCGAAAGAGTCGAAGTCTTCCTCTATTGGTATGGGAGGAGGGGCGTGTGAGGGGTGTGTCTGCGTGGGCGCAGGCTCCAGCGACTCGTACAAGTGACCCGAGTCGCTGCTGTCACATTCTGTTGATAAACAAAAGAAACAATTAAATAAAAAAATACATTAACAGTTTTTGGGGACCAAATGGATGAGGAGAGAGGGACATTCATATTTTTATTGAGTAAAAACCACCTCCTTTCTATTTATGTTACAAAATAATCTATATTTGAACAATGTCTTTTGTTTTAATAACTACAAAAAACATTTTTGTCTGTTTTAGTCTGCGCTTGTGACTCATCGAATGGAAAGGCTTGCTTCCTAATAGGTATGTGAGATTTATAAAAAAAGTAGAGGGGATGTCATATTGTTATCTGTAGATGTGCACCTTGACGCAATAATGTATAAAGTATAGGCGTGATGTTATGATGGTGAACATAATAACAGAATTTAAAATATAAGTAGATTAAAATATATCATATGAAAATTACAATCCCCAATTACTCTCCCCTTCCCCAATATCCCCAATTCCTGAATGCCCAACCATCCTCAAACTCCTAATCCCCAAAAGACCGATAACGCACTTGTAACTACTCTGGTGTTCCAGGTGTCCATGGGCGACGCCGATGGCTTACCATCAGGTGATCCGTCTGCTCGTTTACCGACTTATTCCATAAAAAAAAAACAATAATTCTGGGCTAATCTGAACACTACGGGAAAGAGTACGCATTAACGAAATATGAGCTATGACGTATTAACTTTAACGCAACAGAATAATAACAATACGCACCAACTACGTGATGTAGATAGCTATAAATGTTTCGAATTATAAACTGTTATTCAGCCACCGCAGAAGTTCTAATAAAATATCTAAGTATTGCACCATCATTCGCGTGTTTTCCTCAATATAAATGTTATTGGGAGAAAGATTGATTTTCCTCTAAATTCCTAAAGATTAATAAAAGTTATTTGTTTCAGTTTGTCGGACATTAGACCATTCGTTTCGCGCGGCAACAAAACTTTATCGAGTTTGAGCAAATTTTACGGTACAACGCCATCTATGGAAGCGAGATAAAAATATTTTATCTTTGTTCTCTTGCTTCACGTTTTTTGTTATGAATGATCTCATTTAATTATTATTAATTGTCTGGATATTATTGCAGACACTATTTATTGTTCTTTTTTACTTATGGACTGTTCAGGTTAATTTATAAAAAATTGGCTAGAACCGGAAAACCAGACTAGACATTCATTATTACTGGTAAAAATTGAGTGCTTCAAGCTTGAGTTTCTAAAATCCTTTCTAATGCAACGCTTTTTGCGATAAATCTGAAGATTACCTGAAGAACATCATAATTAATCTAAGTCAAGAATTTCTCGATTTCTCAAAAGCTATAAATTAAATTAAATAGAAAACTAACACACTCGTAAATCATATTATAAATCGACTGTTAATTTGAATTAGGTATATAATTAATTAACAAAATATGACAGTTAAAATGCTGGTGTATGGTCAAGGTCTGCGGCGACCCTTGTGACATGCGCGTACGCATCCGGTAACATACAGGTTGGTACTTACAACCACTCTTGCGCAAGTAAGTATTATGACATTCAACATCATAAATTGTTTGGTTACATCGATGAAGTTTCCAAAGAAGCTATATTGTTGTAAATGAGTAGCAGTAAAGATACTCTTAAATTAATCAGGGAATTGAATCTAAAGGGGCTCCAAAAAGTACTTAATACTTATATTATTCTGTATTATGTTTCTGCGACACTGGCCCAGCAATATTGCAAATAAAATAACACGGTTATTGTAATGATATGGGTACAAATAATTCAATAATATCTCATTGTAATATGCATTGAAAAGGATTCCTTTCTTTTGTAATTAAGATGAAATCTTGACTGCTTAGTAGAGAATTTTTGTATTGATGTTTATAATACCTACTGCATTTATATTATTAAACTAACAAATTCTGATTGTCCAATATACGTATGATAAGTACGTATGTATTTATATGAAAGGGACATCCTTATTTAATCGGTTTTGCGAGAAAGATACAGTAACAAATGTCGCTACTCCATCTGTTAGTAAACTTAGTACG